CAGCAGGAAGCAGAGGAAGCTTCTGGCCTCTGTCTGATCCCAATTTTTGCAGCCCAAACTCAAACTTTACCCCCATTTCTGCTTTTATGTTTGCTGTCTTTTAAGAGTACAGTAGCACAAGTAAGCCTGAGCTATATACCAGCTCTGCCTTCCTTCCACACAAGGATCAGTAGAATTGGAAATTCTAGCACCTCCATAATCTCTAGTTTGTACCAATCACATTACAGCTGAGAACAGTATAGTCTCAGGCTGTCTAATGTATGAGGTGTTATAAAGCTTTCCCTGCTTCACTTATTGATCAACACAACTAGCTCTTAAAAACAATTTTAATCAGAAAGGGGATGCCCTTCTCCATGCAGTTTGAGTATTGGTCTTATTATTTTTCTAGTGCTCTCTTGCCCAGAGAAAATGTAAATGAAAATATTAAATGTTCCTAATTGTCCTAGGAGCCTTTTTCTGCTCAAAATGGGGCATCCCCTTTTAAAATTTCATGCATGCTGCTATTCCTTGAGTTTTATCATTTGTCAACAAATCAACTACCTGCTTAGCAGCTCTCCTGAGGGATTTAAAATAGCTACCATGAAAATCCTGGGCATTTACTATTTTTATAACAAACTTGATTGTCACCTATGATATTTCAAAGATCACTCCTCATATAGACATCACGCTGGAAATTAGATGCAGGGCCTGCTTTCCATGGAACATTATGCAGAGGCACTCTGACTAATAAATCTTTGTAGCTAATGCATTCCAGATGGAAGCCATGTCTCACAGATTTAACCTTCCTAAACCCTTCCAAAAATTCCTCCCATCAAAAGCTCACAGAATGAGATATGTTTGACTGAAATGGGATCATCAATACATGACAACTAAGTAATAGTACAAATGATTACTGCTTGCAGGAAAATTGCCATATTCCTTTCCACAAAGACATGGTTTTGGACAACTCCCAGGACAAGAAGATGGACCTGATATGTCTTACTGGTGGCTTAAATGCTTTTTTTCTTGAGTCCCCATTGCTATTAGCAGATGCTATACAGGGAACAACCATTTCTGTCTCTTTAACTTTCGTACATGCATAACAGGCTGCTAAGAGGTAGGATCAAGACTCTTAGAGGAGCCACTAATTAACATGCTGTTTAATCATGTCACCACGGTTAGCAGTCTACATCATTCGTTTATGTCAGGCAGACACAGTAAAACATCTAAACACCGACATGTAGATTCTTATAGAATCAGTCATGTGCAGTGGCCAGGGCAGTGTCATACAAGACTGTAGATGTACCTGTAATGTTTAGAAGCATTACAAATCACCCCATCACAGGCTTAGCTTGTGCAGCCTTCAAAAACTTGGCTTTTTCTTCTGGTAGTTTCTCAAGCACAGGTCAACTTATAGCACATGATTTTTTATATGTTTACAGGGAAACTGAACTTCCTGGAATGACAGGAAATGCCACATACCACTGCCTGTTCTCAGATGTGAACCATCTGCAACAGAATACGACCTCATGCGATGAAGACTCAGAGAGTTTCACAGGAAGCGTCCCACTGAAAAGTTTAAAATTCATAACTCAATTTCTCTTCTAAACTTAGGAGGTGAAATGCAGTAAAACTTCACTAATTAAAACTGATGAATGAAGGTCAGACTGAATTAGTGAAATACAGTAGACCCCTTATCCGGTGTGTGTGGGGGGGTATGTTCTGAGACCCCCAGTGGATGCGTGAAACCCAGGACAGCACGTAATCCTACAGATACTATGTTTTTTCCCATACATACACACCTATGATAAAGTTCAATTTATAAACTAGGCACAGTAACAGATTAACAACAGTGACTAATAATAACACATAGAACAATTACAAAAATATACTGGAACGAAAGTTATTTGAGTGTGACCTCTCTTTCAAAATATCTCATTGTACTACACTCACCCTTCTTGTGATGACGTGGGGATGAGGTAAAGTGAATGACGCAGGCACTGTGATGTAGCGTTAGGGCTACTACTGACCTCCTGAAAATACATCAGAAGGAGGACCATCTGCTTCCAGTGATCCTGGATCATGGTGCCACGACAGTGTTGATGGCTGGATTTAAGGAGCGGACGATGTTGATGCTTGGGGATCCTGGGCAGGACGGAGATGGACAGCGTGAAGTTTCATCTAGCTACTCAGTATCACGTGCCATTTAGAACTTATGAATTGTTTCTTTTTGGAATTTTCCATTTAATATTTCTGGACCAGGGTTCACTGCAGGTAACTGAAACCACAGAAAGCGAGAGTGTGGATAAGGGGGAACTACCATGTGAATGCTTTCATGCTTCACGGTGAATGAATAAATGAATGTAAGCAAATGTTTCTTTGTTTTGTTTTTACTTTCAACAATTGCGCAGTTGGTAACCTGAAATTAAATGCTCACAAACATTATGGTATATCTTAAAATGCAATGCTGCAGTATTTGCAGCAACTGCCTGGATATAGCAGATTACTGTGCTGCTAAATTCACGCAAAAGGTTTACCTCTTTAAACCTGCCTGGTGGCCCTCTGCATGGCAGAAACAGACCTGGGAGCAGTGCAGAGACCTGGGCTCTGCTCTGGCTCTAAGTGAACACTTGTGTGGCCTTGAGGCTACTCACTTGGCCTCCAGGATGCTTCCCTGCTGCACCTGGTAACGGAGATTTGGCTACAGCTCGGCGTGTCTCATCAGTAGGCACACCCATCAGAATCACCTCGTTTCTGCTCCCAAATATACCTACCTATTCTTAGAGTTTCTGACTCAGTGGGTCCTGGGGTAGGATCTTGGAATAGGACAGTTGAAGAGAACCCCCAAGCTGATGTCCTGCATCCCCTGTGAAGAAACTACACTGGATAAACCCTGAGACCCCTTGCAGTTCTCAAAAACCATGGTCCCACTGAATTTATGCTCATACTTACTTATAAAAATGGTCTGGCACATGCCTAGGGAAAAAGGGCTGAAATAAGATACCCAACAATAACAATAACTGCTAACCTCTACCAAACACGTATTTTACCCAGGTGCTTTTCTAAGCGTGGCTCACAGACTAGCATGTTTTACACTCCCAAAAGCCTTAGGAGGCTGAATTATGGGTGGAGCCTCTTTATTATCCCCATTTTATGGGAGACCCACAGAAGGTTAAGTAACCACGATGTTAAAAGCAAATTATTCCTATTGGTGAAATTAAGGATAATTTTCTTTTTTCCCTTTTGCTCACAGAAGGTTAAGTAACCACGATGTTAAAAGCAAATTATTCCTATTGGTGAAATTAAGGATAATTTTCTTTTTTTCCCCTTTTGCTTCTCCACACTTTCCAATATTAAAAAAAAAAAAAAATCATGTATTCCTTGTAAGACAAAAAATGTTTAAAGTTTAAAAACAAATTCCATAAAGAAGATTTCAAGTAGCATACATTCACTGGCACAGAAAATATAGAACTATGGACCTGTTATTAACTGTGTAGAAAGCCAGCAAATTACCAAAAAAAGGGTGCGTTTTCCAGAAACAGGCTAAAAGAAGCAATCATAACTAAGCATGGAACTTGGTCCCTGGTAGCCATAGCAAAAAGGGAAAACCTCCAGAATTGCAGAAAAATCTTTAGTTAATGAAGGAAGCATATCAGATCATCAGGAGAACTGAACTTTTCCAAAACTCTGAAGGTGAAGACGAATTTCCATATAGGTCTCCAGGTAAGAAACCTGATTCTGTTATTCCAACACTTAAAAAAAAATAGGTCAACAATGCAAAGGCAAGCTTAAGCCCAGCTGGGGTTGAATTATCATAAAAATCTGAACTGGCAAAGTCAGAACAAAAGGACTTTGACTCTATCAGATTGCTGGCCCCATAGTTTTCCTTTTTTCTTTTGTTCAAGAATTCATGGATAATAAATCCAGAATGTGCTGTTTGTATAAAAGGCAGATCTTCATTATCAGGAGAAGCCATTTATAGAACAGTTTTGGTTTCTTTAATCACAGCCCTTAAAAGGTCTTCTAGATACTAAATAACAGGGAATATTGGCGGGCAGGGGGTGGGGGGGACTAAAGCCCTTTATAAGCTAGAGGACAAGCCTTGCTCACGAGTGACACATGCAAAATCAACCCTAAATCACACAGTATAATTATCTTCTTTATGCTCTGGCTCTAAAATTCTTAAGAGCCCCTGCCCAAATGTCCTCCTCACTTTGATCTATGGTTGTAATCTTACATTAAAACTCAGTCACACCGGGGAATGTCATTTGGCCAGCTTTCAGGCAGGTCTTAACAATAGACCCCTGGCTGAGACAAGGCTGGAAGAGATCAAGCACTCTTCACCTCCGGGAGCAGCAGGGGCCTGGCGAGGCAGGCACACCTGAGTGAGGTTGCTCTTGAGCCTGGAGCTTGCCTGGCTCATTCAAAATGAACCCAGTCCACACACCTGTCTGTGAGAGCATCGGCAGCGCCTGTTGTTACTGACAATCATTGCATTTAGCTGGTGTCCTATAGCAGGGGAGAAAGTCACTCTGTGGTACCGAATTTTTTTTCTTTCAATAATAAGGAACCAGGCTTACCCAAACATAATAAAAAAACAAAAAACAAAACAGAGAGGGAGTTTAAACTTGAACAGAAATATATGTCCTGCAATTCTTATTTTTTTAAAAAAGTGATTGCTACCTTCGGTCTAGCAGATCATCAGGCTGAATATTCGGACTTCATTTATCAAACAGTCTCTTCATACTCTTTCTTCAAAGACTGCAGAAGAAAAGCATCTGTCTACATTTGAGAAGCTCTTTTCACATGAGATTAGAAAATTTGGGATTTTTTTTCCATATCTAATCCTATTACTCGTTAATGAATCCAAGTGGCCTCTGTGATTACAATAAAAGCAAGTGGCTAGGGCCTCAATATTCAGCGCCTCCTTCACAGAAACGTTAAGTATGTGGGTGCAACCTGCTGTGAGAACGCCCAGCCCCATCTGAGAGCCAACATCCAGGAGCCCGAGTGCTCTAAGTACCTTTCAGTTCCTTCGGTGCCTGTATGCACTTGTTCACAAAGCCACTTAAGATTAAACCAATATAGATTTTGGCTCCAGCTTCAGCCAAGTTCTGGGATAAGAGGGTATCAACATTAATATGATGAGACAAAGGGCTTTTGCAACACATTCTCAACTCTTTTTTTTCCAAGGACGGTAGATTTTAATCTCATTATGAATTTAATGCACAGGCTGTGAGCAGACTTCAGCAGAACACAGCACCGCACGTAGAGCCCCATACCCTGCCTGTGGATGTAAATGATACTTGCACGGACACATCCGCACAGGGTTTCAAGAGGAAGGGAAGGTTTTACACAAGGGTTAGAGAACCTTGTTCTCGAACTTCTGTTTTTTCCTGTTCAAAATTCTGAGCAGCTTTAAGAAGACTTCTATCCTTTCTTTATTCCTGAATTTCTCTCTCTATAAAATGGGTGTAAGAAAAGGCACAAGAATAACGGGTCCACGTGAACTATTCTGTTCAAGTGATTGTGAATCTACAATTAAAAAGTGAAATGAACCTAAAAGAAATCATAATAATGAATCACATGTCTGTAGCTGATACTTATTTTTAATATTTATTATCCATGTTAAAACATTTTTTAAACTTAAAAAGAGCTTATTAAAAAACAGCTCACTCTACGGTATAAAAATGGGATTGACATATATACACTACTGTGTATAAAACAGATAACTAATGAGAACCTACTGTATAGCACAGGGACCTCTACTCAATGCTCTGTGGTGACCTATATGGGAAGGAAATCCAAAAAAGAGGGGACATTTGTATACGTATAGCTGATTCACTTTGCTGTACAGCAGAAACTAACACAACATTGTAAAACAACTATACTCCAATAAAAATTAATTAAAAAAAAATAAAACAGCTTACTCCAAGGTATAAAAATGACCAAGGGGGTTGTGGGGTAGGGGAGGGGCACAAGCTAACATTTGCTGATACTTAGAATGGGCAAGGCAGTCGGGCAGCATCTCATTTCATGCTCAAAAATCCTATGCAGTAGGTTCTATTGTTGCCACTATTTTACAAATCATGGGACCGAGGTCCATAGATTTGGCCAAGGTCACATGGTTAATAAAGCCCAGATTTCAAGTTTACTGGGCCTTTGAACTAAGAGCCTGCTTTCTTAACCACTTACTATACTACACCGTGTAACATAAAGAAAAATAAGAGGGGACTTCCCTGGTGGTCCAGTGGTAAAGAATCTGCCTTCCAATGCGGGGTACGCGGGTTCTATCCCTGGTCGGGGCAACTAAGCCCGTGTGCCTCAACTAGAGAGCCCACGTGCTCTGGACCCTGTGTGCCACAGCTACAGAGCCCACATGCCCTGGAGCCCGCACGCCACAACTAGAGAGAAGCCCGTGCAACACAACAAAGAGTCCTCGCCGCAACGAAAGATCCTGAATGAGATCCCGCATGGCTCAACGAAGACCCCACGTGGTGCAACGAAGACCCCGGCGCAGCCAAAAAATATAAATAAATTTTTTAAAAAAAGAAGAAAAATAAGAGGGCCCGCAGGGCAAGTGAGGACACATGGGTTCTGGCACTATAGATGATCTTGGGCAAGAAATTTCCCCTTTATTCTATAAATATTTATCAAGCATGTATTTTTTGCGTGCCAGATACTGAATTCTGGATAAGGTACTAGAAACCCCGAGATAAAATATGGTCTTGACTCTCAAGGGGTTCACAGTCCAGTTGGGGAGATAAATAATTTGATCCATAGCAAAGGAGTAATACTAAATAACCTAAGAATGTGATCATTTTCAGCTGTTAGAAAGTGATCAAAGATCATCATTTCAACTAAGAAAGGCTTACAGCAGCTACAGAGTTCCTAAGGACATCAAAGGATAATTGTCTTATGAAAACAGAGTATCTCAAGTTTAAATATTAAAAAACACCAAGTCCAGTAAACATCTTGCAATCGTGATGATCAATAATGCTATCTAACCACATCTAACTATATGTGAGAATACTTGTAAACAATGGACGGAGAGAGTTGAGTAAAATCGATCAATAACAATTAAAGTATGTCCTGAAAACCTCTCTCTCCAATTTACATTAATTCAGATTTAAAAAAAGAGCAAATGATAACATATCATGGCCAATTCTAATATATAGTACAACTCAAACTACAAACAATCTTGAAATAAAAACAGCATTTAAGGAAGGTTTACATGAAGAAATAAAGTGCCAGATATTGAATTGGAAAATTGGGAATGTAATTATGCTAAATATATCCAGACCCAGACATTTTTTCTGTCTCATTTTACGATTAATGAAGGAATTTTAAAAATTGTTTGGAAAATTATACTCTAAAGGACTGAAATTGCTAGTTGCTAGGATTATGGGTCACACTGCTTTTCTTTGTACTTTCTCTAGTCTAAGTTTTCTGCAATGAACATAGACTGTTTTCTTTTGTTCCTTTAACATGACTTTAGATGCATCAGCAGAGCCCATCATAAGGCGCACAAGGCACATACTAGGGCCCAGTCTTGCCGCAGAATGGAGAAATGTCATGTCAGATGCTAGAGCATCAACAATCTATATGTTGCAGGAAGAAAAGTGTCCCCGAAGAAAAGAGCAGCCAGCTGTCCTTTAAAAAATTCTGGTACTGCCTTTGGAGAGTATATGCAATGAGAACTTGGCTCCTTGCGATATAATACTTTTAATGGGTGAGCCATTTCGACACTTTACATACTGCAGAGTAAGTTTCTACAGAACTTTCTCATTGTACTCAGCGCTGTCTGTGCAGTTAATTTAGGCATCAGAAGACTCAGTTGTTAATTTTCTGACTTGCCTCTGGACTTTTAAATGCTATTGCTCCAATCATAACACGTCGAAACACTCACACAGATTTCAACAATAATATCCACAGCTGGGAATAAATCAAAGCAGTTTTATCACTGATTAAGTGCTATTGAAATATGGTTACAAGACAACATGAAGCAAAGGACAGATTTCACTTGGGAAGATTAAGACGAAGCCTGGGCAAAAAAAAGGGTAATCCAAACAAAGTCTATGCAACATTTAAAAATATGTAATTCAGAGTTAGAATTCATTTTTTAGCCGTTTAATTCTCAGTTTCCTGTGTGTGTCTGAGTCTGTGTGTGGGTTTATGCTATAGAGTGGTTCAACCACATAAAATGAATTTAGGCACAGCTGTTTTTCAAGCTCAGGTGTCTTCATACTAAGATGGGGGTCAGCAAACTTCTTCTGTAAAGGGCCAGAGCAGAAATATTTTAGTCTCCGTAGACAGTAGGTTCTCTGTTACAACTACTTAATTCTGCCATTTTATGTGACAGTATGACAATACACGAACGAGCATGGTTGTGTTCCAATAAAACTTTATTTATAAAAAACAGGCAGAGGGGTGGGTTTGACCCTTGTGGTGTAGTTAGCTGACCCCTGCGCTAAGATACAAGTTATTCCGTCTACCCAGAAGACTCCCTGAATGAACAGGGGTGAGAGCAAAGGGTGTAGGGATGGAGTTGGGGATGACATGTGGGACTTGAGCATACTCAGTCATGCTAAGACTCAGCCCTTTTCCTTGGCGTGAACCTGCACCCTGTCCAGATGTTGTGCAGTCTCTTTCCTGTGGACATGTTGCAGACAGCAGCCCCTCTGCCTGCTCCTTCAGGCCTGGGCAGCACTGGGGTAGTTAGCTCTCCCTGGGTACCCCCAAATTCTTTCTTCAAAAAAAAACATTTCCATTCTTCTGCTCCGCCCTTCCAAGAGCCTTTTCATTTCCACTGCTGATTCCACAGGCCATAAATGTCAGAGTTTCCTCTTTCTAATAAGATCATTTTGGCCATCCCCTGGACTTGGCTGCTGTCTGGTGCTGAGAGATCTGGGCCTGCTCGCTCTGAGGCCGTGCTGACCAAGCCAGGCCAGATGCTTAGCCTGCTACTTTGCAAGCACATCTGTGCAGAGGTTTGGATGTGGGAAAGCAGTTTTCAGCAGTGTTTGCTCCTTGTCTCAGGGGCTCTTTGACATTTTCATCAAGGATCCAGATGGTGGCAGAGAGATGATCCTCATTATGACTGCAGATCACCAAAATTTAAGTGTAAATGCGATTCCCCCTTGCCGGATAGTTTCTCTTTTTTTTTTTTTTTTTTTTTTTTTTTTTGCGGTACGCAGGCCTCTCACTGCTGTGGCGTCTCCCGTTGTGGAGCACAGAGGTTCCGGACGCGCAGGCTCAGTGGCCATGGCTCACGGGCCCGACCGCTCCGTGGCATGTGGGCTCTTCCCTGACCTGGACACGAACTCGTGTCCCCTGCATCGGCAGGCGGACTCTCAACCACTGTGCCACCAGGGAAGCCCGGTAGTCTTAATTTAAAGTGATCTTGCCAGCTAGGAACAATGGTAGTCAGAAACATAATTAAGTTGGTAAGAACAACTGCAGCATTGTGTATCAAGGAGAACAGCCCATTGCATAAAGCGAGACACAAAATCTATGCTATCAAAACTTCGTTGGGCTCTCAGCACCACTTTTGTTCTCAGCAAACTTTTTATATGGACTTTGTAAGCTTCTTTTCCAATTGGTATTCTAAATCTTCACTGCTCCCTTCAAGATTCGTATTCTATTCTTTCTCTTTATCCCAAAGAGACAGAATCACTTTTCCTCTTAAATTATGGAATTCCCTAGGGTTCTGGGTCCTTGATTCCCTTCTCTTCAAACTTCACGTGTTCTTGGATGATTTTACCCAAACCCATGACGTTTACTGTAACTGACACACAACCAGATGGTCTCCAAATCTTTAAGTCTCCTAAGGTTCAGACCCTAATCAGGTATATCTTTATCTGAATGTCCTACTAACACTTCAAACTCTATCTCCCCAATTGAATTAATCATCTTCCCCTCCCCTCCCTAAGTGATGCCACCTCCTATATGATTCAACTGTATTACATTTTACCACCAACCACCCAAGTTTCTGGCAAGACACAGCAGAGTCAGCCTGTCTCCTCCATCACATACGTATCCACTCAGTCTTCAAATCCAGTCTCTCCTACATCCTAAATGTCCCTTGAATCCATTTGTTCTCCATTTTCACTGC